GTGAAGACGTTTTTATAGATTGTCCCTGTAAATTTCTGTTGTATATCACTCTTTGGGTCTTTCTCCTTTTATAGAACCCCCCTTAATATTTCTTGCAGGGCCAGCTTAGTGGTCACATATTCTTTCAGTTTCTGATGGTCTTGGAAGTTCTGCATCTCTCCATCCATTCTAAATGACAGCCTTGTTGGATAAAGTATTCTTGGCTGCATGTTCTTCTCATTGAATACCCTGAATATGTCTTGCCAGGCCTTTCTGGCTTGCCAGGTCTCTGTGGATAGGTCTGATGTTATTCTGATGTTCCTCCCTCTGTACCTAAGGAATCTCTTCCCCCTAACTGCCCTTAAAATGGTTTCCTTGGTTCTAAGATTTGCAAGTTTTACTATTACATGCTGGGGTGTTCACCTGTTTTCCTTGATCTTGGGAGGGTTCCTCTCTGCCTCTAGGACATGAATGTTTGTTTCATTCCCCAGATTAGGGAAGTGCTCAGCTATGATTTGTTCAAATACATCTTCTAGTCCTCTCTCTCTCTCCACTCCCTCTGGGATTCCAATTATTCTGACATTGGAACGCTTCATGGTGTCACTTATTTCTCTGATTCTATTTTCATGGATTCTGAGTTGTTTCTCCCTGGCCTCCTCTTTTCCCTTTTTATCTATTATATTGTCTTCCAGGTCGCTTATTCGTTCTTCTGCCTCACTTACCCTAGCTGTTAGATTATCTAGATTGGATTGGATATCACTGATAGCATTTTTAAGTTCTGCCAATTCAGCTTTCATTTCTGCCCTTAGAGACTCTATGTTGCCATTCATTGATTTCTCCATTCTAGCTATTGTCTTCACAATTGCTAGCCTGAATTCCCTCTCCGACATCTTGGTTATATCTGCATCCATTTGTAAATCTGCAGCATAAGTCATAATCTCTGAGTCTTTTCTATTTTGGGGGTTCCTCCTCCTAGTCATTCTGTTGATGGGTGGTTGAGGTAATGTATAGAGTCCAAATTATTGACCGCGTCCCAAGCCAGATGCACCTGTTTTCTATGGACCTTAGGGTTGCTGGCCTCTTGTTTTCCCAGCCCGTCTTCTGGGGGAGGGGCCTCCCGCACTGTTACTCAGGCAACCTATTTGGGCGGAGTTGCCCTGCCCCCCTGTGGCAGAGGATGGGCTCAGTGGGAATCAGTTTTGGGGGCTTTTGTTCTCTGGTGGCTTTCCGAGTCTCTTCCATGGATCAGAGCAGAAAAGACCATTTCTAACTCTCTGCCTCAGAGCAGAGAGATCGTAATCTGTTCTTCAGTGAACTCTCCAGGCCACACTGTCTCCTTTTCTGTCCGTGCTGCTATAAACTGCAGCATCCTGAATTGTGTGCCGCTTGGCAGTGCTCCTAGTCCTGCTTCCAGATCGGGGCACATATCTGCCGTTTGTGCTTCTAAAACCGCCAGCCGCTCCCAGTTCGCACACGCAACCCCACCGCTCCGGGTTTCCACCCCAGGGCCTGCCCTAAAGTCCTTTCCCCGCCACTACCGGCCTACAAGTCTGTGCCCCATCCCCAGCGATTGAGGCTGTCCCTCACTGACGGTGTAGAATCCCCACCGCCAGGCTCTCTCCCGCTGCCGTTTATCCTCTGATATCTGCCCGCGGAATCACGGCTTCCTGTTTTGTACCTCTGTAGGAACCGTCTGCAATATTCTGTTTGTAGAGATCCAGATCTTCTTACATTTCAGGCTGGTTTCATGGGTGCTCAGAGTGGTCTGGTAGATATACAGCTCAATTCTGGGGACCAATTGAAATAAGGTCTCCTACTCCTCTGCCATCTTTCCTTCCCCCTACCCCTTACTTTTAAGGGAAAATTTACTTGAGCTTAGAGTTCTGTATTAGTTTTATTTTCTCAGGATTCTCAGTTGACACCTCCCATCATACATTGATTATTTAGAAGTACATTTAATTTCCACATGAATAGAGATTTTTATGAAGTATTTATATTTGTATGCTATTAATTTCCAGTCTTATATCATTATTACAAGAGGATGCATTATTGGATTTCAATTATATTTGTTTAGGTTTATTTTCTGGACTAGGATGTGGCCTATTTAATAAATGTTTACGTGCCTTTGAAAAATATATTTTTCTATTGTCATAATTTTTTGGGTGAAATATTCTGTTACTTTTTTCTTTTTCTTAAAGATTTTATTTATTTATTTATTTGACAGAGAGATAGAGGGCACAAGTAGACAGAATGGCAGGCAGAGGGAGAGGGAGAAGCAGGCTCTCTGCTGAGCAGGGAGCTGGACGTGGGGCTCCATCCCAGGATCCCAGGATCAGGACCTGAGCCAAAGGCAGCTGCTTAAGTGACTGAGCCACCCCAGGCGCCCCTATTCTGTTATTTTTCTACCCTGCTTAATGGCAAGCTTGCTCTTAAAATTTTTATTTTTCATTCAGAATTGTTCTTGACTTTTTTGAGTCTGGAAGACAAGGTCAGTGACAATTTTCAGAGGTACTTTGGGCATACTGGAAACTAAGCCTACGTCTAAAATAAAATCATAATTAAAATTCCATATGTTGAGTTAATCCAACACTTATTCTCATCTTTGTACTTATTAATATTGACTCAGTGATCGAATTTTGTTCAAAGCTTTATTCAATGTACTTAATAGGCCTGACAAAGAGTGACCTACTCTTTTTTTAAAGATTTTATTTATTTATATGAGAGAGAGAATGAGAAAGAGAGAGCATATGAGAGGGGAGAAGTTCAGAGGGAGAAGAAGCCTCCCCACTGAGCAGGGAGCCCGGTGCAGGACTCATTCCCAGGACCCAGGATCATGACCTGAGCTGAAGGCAGTCGCTTTACCAACTGAGCCACCCAGGTGCCCCAAGATTGACCTACTCTTAAAGAAATATTTTAAAATGGAAGCACATGGAACAAATAATAAAAAAAAATTCTTAAAAAGGATTAATTGTATATTGGGGAACAAAAAGAATAAAAAATAATGAAATTATAGGAGAAACAGAAAAAAAAACCACATAGCTACCACTTCATCAGGTCACTCAACAGTGAAACAAGCAGTCATTTCTACAATTCTTCCTTCGCTGAATTTTTAAGTTCTTCAAATATACCCAATTTATATAACTAGTTTAAAAAAGAAACTCCTACTTCTAGAGCTTAACACATAAACTTAATTCTCCATTTCTAACTCCAGGAAACATTTTTAGCTGAGTCCCTCTTTTACCTATTGTGTTTGTGATAGGTATATCTGTATCCCCCACCTCCTTTCTGTTCCACTTTTGGAGATACAGGAAAATCTTAAGACTCTGCCCACTTGAAATTTTATATGGCCATCTGCCTTGCTGCAACCCAGGAGACATGAGGGAAGAAGTTTGTGTAAATTCTAGGAGGAAAAATCTAGTTTTGTCGGATTGGGCCTACAGACTTGTCTTCTGTCATGAGAATGCATATGGAAACATCTTAAGAACAAAGCATCCTAGGATGTCAAACCTACAAGCACAGTTCACTGCCCTAGAGAGTCATGTGCTCCCACACTGGACTTTGAATGTGGAAGCAATAAACCCATATTGTTTTTTAAGGCATTGATAATTTATTGTTACCTTGATATCCTCTTAGGTTTACTGATTACAAGGGTGATAAAGGCCACTTCTGAATAGTATTAACTCTTGCCACCCACTCTAAGCCATATGCTTTTTCTATATTTTGCTATTAGTGTCACTTCCAGACCTCCTACTTAACTAATTTTTGATAATAACATTTGGCAACTACCCCAAACTTCTGCCATAAATCAAATGACAGATATTTCTTACAGTGTCTTGTAAGCATAATATAAAATTAGTATTTCTAACAGCACAACAGCTCAGAGCATTTCAGAAAGAAGGAAATTTCCAGATCAATATGTGGTATTGAATTGCTAAGACCACCTTTTAAAACCACAGTTCCATTAGGAAAAATTCACTTGGATTAGGCAGAGTTGTGATTGTTTAATGTTATGACAAATAAGAAAACACAGAAAATAGATGAAGCACATAGGTTTTAAATACTTCTATTATTTTAAATTGTTCTTTAATTTATGTACATAGAAAGGTAGATTTGGCTAAATATTTATCTTACTTGTAATAAAATGGAGGTTAAATTAAACTTGGATCTATTTTAGAGATATGAGTCCCTTTTTACAGTTTAAATAACACAGAGAGACTTTACTATCATGGCATCATCTTCTAAAATTTTAAATAAAAGACAAATATAGCATAGTATATGCAGGTAGCATTTCTTCTATATACACAAATTTCTATTCTCAGAGTCAAATTAAAAAGGAAAGGCTATACATACATGAGGATATAGGGAAACTCCAAGAAAATTTCCTCTTTCTTCAGGCTTGCATAAAAAAACCCCTCCACAATATTTAGTTCCTTTTTATTTTTTAAAAGATTTATTTATTTGAGAGAGGGAGAGAGAGTGTAAGGGGGGGAGGGGCAGAGGGAGAGAATCTTCAAGCAGACTCCCTGCTGTGCAGGGAACCTGAAGCAGGGCTCCATCTCAGGATCCATGAGATCATGACCTGAGCCAAAACCAAGAGTCAGACACTTAACTGACTGAGCCACCGAGGCAACCCTATACAGTTCCTTTAAAAAAATAAATAAAACACAAATAATAGATAATTTATAATTTATTGGCTTTTGGAATCAAAACTGTTGAGCTCATGGTGCTTACATTGCTTAATAAAAACACATTTTCTTGAAAAGTTTACTCTGCAATAGTATTACTCAATTGACAAATATATATCTACCACTTATTCGGTGTCAAAAACTGGCATTGTCTTTATACAGATATATTGTTTTAACAAAATGACATGTAAAATCATAGGGATAAAGTTAAGTAATAAATTACTGCCTTTGAAACAAAACCACATTTTAAAATGTTTCAAAGACTCTCTCTTATGGAGAATGTGTGAATATCATGATTTTCAACTTCCTTTGTGGTTCAAAGATCAATTTCTACTTTTATGGTGATCCTCTTCTTAACAGTTTTAACAGGGTATCCTTTACATCATTGTTCCTCAGGGAATAGATGAGAGAGTTTAACAATGGTGTGACCACAGTGTAGAAGAAGGTAAAGAATTTGCTGTATTTTGAAGCAAAGTTGTTCTTAGGGTATGTATACACTGGTGCTACAGTTCCATAAAATATGAAGACCACAATGAGGTGGGAGGAGCAGGTGGCAATGGTTTTCTGCCTTCCATCCTTGTATTGGATTTTACTTAATGCTTGAGCTATGTAGCCATAAGAAGTCAGGATCAATCTCAGTGGCATGATGGTGAAAGGAACAGCAGAGACTGTCATCTGCCACTCACTGGCAAATGCACCTCCACATGTCAAGCGTATGAGGGCTCGAACCTCACACAGAGAGTCATCTAGGTAGTGATGGGTGCAGAAGGGAAGCTGAAGTGTGACAGGAATTTGGGTAACAGATTCTATCAATCCAGACAGCCAGGCTATGAGCACCAGCTTCCAACAGAACTAATGTTGCATGATGATGGTATAGTGCAGGGGCTGGCAGATAGCAATGTAGTGGTCAAAAGCCATCACCACCAACATGACACAGTTTAACTGATTATCCATTAACATAATTAAACAAGTCACTTATTATATATGTTAAAAAGTTTAAGACGTCATTGGTTTACTTATTGACTCCAAAAATTTTTTGGGTCTGTTCTGTGCCCATCCATATGCTAGTCACTGGAGACATAGTAGGGATGAAAGAAAATCAGAAAGAATAAAAACAATATGCTTTTTCAGTGTTAAATTGTTTGTGCATGCTATTAGCTAAAAATAGTCCATGGAGATTGAAAAATCCAAAGGTTTACACAAGAGAAAATAATTCATAAAAATAAAGATTTAGCACTTAAGGATAAAATGGAAGAAAAAAAAGCAAGTTTTATTTCAGACATGCAATTATAGGTAGCATAAGTACATATAGGACTGTTTGATAGTTTATTAATTGTTCTAGGAAATGTGTAACATGTGCAAAAGATCTGAAAGTCTTTAAATATACTTCAAAACCAATTCCTGAATAAAATACATCGATATTTAAGAATAGAAACATATTAAAATACAAAATATTTCAAATTAGACAACATAGTATATCAAAAGTAAAAATAGAATATGTTATATTTGACAAAAAGGAACAGCAAATGCAGGAGTGGTATTAGCATGATGGCAGCATAAGACATTTCTTTATTTTCCCCATCAACAATACAATTTTGTTATCCATCCATAGGCAAAATTGCCTTTGAAGAATCACTATATGTTAAATAATCAGTTCAGAACCTTTGAGTGCAACTAAGGCTGTCCTATGAGGGAAGTATATAGCAATACAGGCCTTTCTCAAAAAACACGAAAAGTTACAAATACATTTAATCTTATACCTACAGATGTTGGAAAAAGGACAGCAAACAAAGCCTAAACCAGCAGGACAAGAGAAATAATTAAGATTAGAGTAGAAATCAATGAAATAGAAACCAAAAGAACTACAGAACAGATCAATGAAACTTGGAGCTGGTTTTTAGTTTTTTTTTTTTTAATTTAATTTATTTTACTATGTTATATTAGTCACCATACAGTACATCATTAGTTTTTGATGTAGTATTCCATGATTGTTTTCATATAACACCCAGTGCTCCAAGGAACACATGCCCTCCTTATTACCCATCACTGGACTAACCCACCCCCCACGAACCTCCCCTCTAAAATACTGTTGGTTTATTGGAGTTCATAGACTCTCATGGCTCATCTCCGCCTCTGATTCCCCCCCCTTAACTGTGCTCTCCTTTCTACTAATTTCCTCCATGCTATTCCTTATATTTAACAAATAAGTGAAACCATATCATCATTGACTTTCTCTGCTTGACTTATTTCACTTAGCATAATCTACTCCAGTCCCATCCATGTTGATGAAAAAGTTGGGTATTCATCCTTCCTCATGGCTGAGTAACATTCCTTTGTATATATGACCACAGCTTCTTATTTATTTTATTTTATTATATTATGTTAACCACCATACATTACATCATTACATTTTGATGTAGTGTTCCATGATTCCTTGTTTGTGTATAACACCCAATGCTCCATTCAGTACATGACTTCCTTAATATCCATCACCAGGCTAACCCATCCCCCTACCCCCCTCCCCTCTAAAACTTTCAGTTTGTTTCTCAGAGTCCATAGTCTCTTATGGTTTGTCTCCCCATCCAGTTCCCACCTCCTTCCTTTTTCCTTTCTTTTTATCTTCTCTCTCTTTTTCCTTTTTTTTAACAAATAATGTACTCTTTGTCTCAGAGGTAGTCTGTGATTCAACAGTCTTACACAATTCACAGCGCTAACCATAGCACTTACCCTTCCCAATGTCTATCACCCAGCACCACATCCCTCCCACCCCCCACCACTCCAGCAACCCTCAGTTTGTTTCCTGAGATTAAGAATTCTTCATATCAGTGAGATCATATGACACAAGTCTTTCTCTGATTGACTTATTTTGCTCAGCATCATACCCACCATTTCTATCCATGTCGTTGTAAATGGCAAGATCTCATTCCTTTTGATGGCTGCATAATATTCCATTGTGTATATATACCACCTCTTCTTTATCCATTCATCTGTCGATGGACATCTTGGCTCTTTCCACAGTTTGGCTATTGTGGACATTGCTGCTATAAACACTGGGGTGCACGTACCCCTTCTGATCCCTACATTTGCATCTTGGGGGTAAATACCCAGTAGTGCAATTGCTGGGTCATAAGGTAGTTCTATTTTCAAGTCTTTGAGGAACCTCCATACTGTTTTCCAGAGTGGCTGCCCCAGCTTGAATTCCCACCTACAGTGTAGGAGGGTTCCCCTTTCTCCACATCCCCGCCAACATCTGTTGTTTCCTGACTTGTTAATTTTAGCCATTCTGACTGGTGTGAGGTGGTATCTCATTGAAGTTTTGATTTGGATTTCCCTGATGCCAAGCGATTTTGAGCACTTCATGTGTCTGTTGGCCATTTGGATGTCTTCTTCTTTTTTTTTTTTTAAAGATTTATTTATTTATTTTTTGAGAGAGTGAGAGAGAGAGAGAGAGAGAGAGAGAGAACACATGAAAGGGGGGAGGGCCAAAGGGAGAAGCAGGTTCCTCGCTGAGCAGGGAGCCTGATGCGGGACTCGATCCCAGGACTCCAGGATCATGACCTGAGCCGAAGGCAGTCGCTTAACCAACTGAGCCACCTAGGCACCCCATTTGGATGTCTTCTTTGGAAAAATGTCTGTTCATGTCTTCTGCCCATTTCATGATTGGATTATTTGTTTCTTAGGGGTTGAGTTTAAGAAGATCTTTATAGATTTTGGATACTAGCCCTTTATCTGATGTCATTTGCAAATATCTTCTCCCATTCTGTCGGTTGTCTTTTGGTTTTGTTAACTGTTTCTTTTGCTGTGCAAAACCTTTTTATCTTGATGAAGTCCCAATAGTTCATTTTTGCCTTTGCTACCCTTGCCTTTGGCGATGTTTCTAGGAAGAAGATGCTGCAGCTTAGGTCGAAGAGGTTGCTGCCTGTGTTCTCCTTTAGGATTTTGAAGGACTCCTGGGTCATATTTAGGCCTTACAACCATTTTTGAGTCTATTTTTGTGTGTGGCAGAAAGAAATGGTCGTTTCATTGTTCTACATGAATTTTCCCAACAGCATTTGTTGAAGAGACTTTTTTTCATTGGACATTTTTTCCTGCTTTGTCGAAGATGAGTTGACCATAGAGTTGAGGGTCCATTTCTGGGCTCTCTAGTCTGTTCCATTGATCTATGTGTCTGTTTTTGTACCAGTACCATCCTATTTTGATGATGACAGCTTTCAGAAGAATAGGTATTAATTCCATTTCTATTTTTTGGAACATTTTCAGAAGAATACATATTAATTCTTCTTGAAATGTTTGGTAGAATTCCCCTGGGAAGTCATCTGCCCCTGGGCTTTTGTTTGTTGGGATATTTTTGAATACTGCTTCAATTTCCTTAGTGATTATAGGTTTTTTCAGGTTTTCTACTTCTTCCTGGTTCAGTTTTGGTAGTTGATACATCTCTAGGAATGCATCCATTTCTTCCAGATATCTAATTTGCTGGCATATAGTTGCTCATAATATGTTTTTAGAATTGTTTGTATTCCTTTGGTGTTGGTTGTGATCTCTCCTCTTTCATTCATGATTTTATTTATTTGGGTCATTTCTGTTTTCTTTCTGATAAGTCTGGTTTCTCAATCTTAATTCTTTCAAAGAACAAGCTCCTGGTTCCATTGATCTGATCTACTGTTCTTTTCGTTTCTTTATCATTGATTTCTGCTCTGATCTTTATTATTTCTCTTCTCCTGCTGGGTTTAGGCTTTATTTGCTGTTCTTTCTCCAGCTCCTTTAGGTGTACGGTTAAGTTGTGTATTTGAGACCTTTCTTGTATCTTGAGATCCCAAAGATTCTGAAAAGTTGTGTTTTCATTTTCATCAGTTTCTATGATTTTTTTTTTAATCCCTTTAGTTTCCTGGTTGACCCATTCATTCTTCAGTAAAATGCTCTTTAGCCTCCAGGTATTTGAGTTCTTTCCGACTTTCTGCTTGTGATTTTCTAGTTTCAAAGCACTGTGGTCTGAAAATATGCAGGGAATGATCCCAGTCTTTTGGTACCAGTTGAGACCTGATTTGTGACCTAGGATGTGATCTATTCTGGAGAATGTTCCATGGGCATTAGAGAAGAATGTGTATTCCGTTGCTTTGGGATAGAATGTTCTGGATAGATTTGTGAAGTCCATTTGGTGCAGTGTGTCATTTAAAGTCTTTATTTCCTTGTTGATCTTTTGCTCAGATGATCTGTCCATTTCAGTGAAGGGGGTGTTAAAGTCCCCCACTATTATTGTATTGTTGTCAATGTGTTTCTTTGCTTTTGTTATTAATTGGCTTATACAATTGGCTGCTCCCATGTTAGGGGCATAGATATTTACAATTGTTAGATCTTCTTGTTGGATAGACCCTTTAAGTAGGATATAGTGTCCTTCCTCATCTCTTATTACAGTCTTTGGTTTAAAATCTAATTTGTCTGATAGAAGGATTGCCACCCCAGCTTTCTTTTGGTGTCCATTAGCATGGTAAATGGTTTTCCACCCCCTCCCTTTCAATCTGGGGGTGTCTTTTGGTCTAAAATGAGTCTCTTGCAGACAGCATATTGATTGTCTTCTTTTTTTATGCAATCTGATAGCCTGTGTCTTTTGATTGGGGTATTTAGCCCATTAACTTTGGGGTAACCATTGAAAGGTAAGAATATAGTGCCATTGTATTGCCTGTAAGGTTAATGTATATTGTCTGTGTTCCTTTCTGGTGTATGTTACTTTTAGGCTCTCTCTTTGCTTAGAAGACCCCTTTCAATAGTTCTTGTAG